TAATTAAATTTGTTTATTTCAATATTCTTTTCTCTTTTGATTTAATTTTTGTCACTCTTTCTTTCCAATATATTAAGTAAAGAGTATTTTTTAAAATTTATATTTTTTAAAAAAATAAGATTGTTTAGTGTATTTAATGAGAGTTATTAGTATGTAAGATTTTCTTTAAAGATGTCTTATAATTTGGGACAGAGTGAGTATAATAAATAATTAATGAAAAATAATTATAAATAATTAATATTTTTTTAAAAAAATTATACTATTAAATTAATTAATTAATATTTTTTTGTGTATAAATGCTATCATACCGGAGCGCTTCCACAAAGAAGCACTTCCAAGAGCTTTTTGTTTTTTTTTGAAGAGCTAGGGATTGAGATAAATGATGACTAATATTGAGTTAGAATTTGTTGCGTTTAATTTGGTGTTTTTGGAATGGTAAGGGTAATTTTAAGAACATAAATTAATTTTAACTAATTTTTTTGGTTTATTCAAATTAATTAAAGATGACCTTTTTTTTCTTATAAGTATCTTGGTATTAGAGGCAATCCTATTCAAGACACTTGAGCAGTAAATGTAGACATTAAATGTGGACACACTCTTAATATAATTTCTTCTATTGTTAATTTCCTTCTATTGGTCACATCTTAATATTAGTCGCTTTTAATTATGGATTAATGACATTAATTTGAAACTTTAAAATTGTCAAAAATGATAACCATACTCTTAAATCAAAATCAAATTATTGTAATTATCTTTTGTGTGTGTGTGTGTGTGTGTGTGTGTTTCTCTCTGCAATATGACTAATTGTAAAAATAATAATTTCATGTTATTGACTTTTTGTAAAGTGACTTATATTTGACATTATAAAAAAAGAAACTTACATTAAGCAACGACAAGGAGAAGAATAAAATGGAGGCAGTAATGCTTCTGAATTATTTTAATTTCAAAGAAAAAATCGCGAAAGGAATGTTTAATTGTCGTAGCAATTATTCCTCCGATTACGCTTCGCAGTTCACAATTTCCTTGTATCAGCATACAGCAAACTTCCAAGTACTTGCCGAAGGCATTGTCTTTATTTTTATTTTTTGGGTGGGATTTTAAACCTTCTCCACTTTAGTCTAAATGTATGCTACTTTAATTTTAATTTTCTTAAAAAAAAAGAAAGAAAAAACGTATTACTCATGCTGTTAGGCAAAAATAAAAGGAAACTGACGTGAGGTATACCAAAGACACGAGATTTTAAAAGGATGAAAGAATCTAACTTCTAATTAAATACAAGGAACTCAAGTTCCCTTACCATAATTTACTCAGATATTAGAATGCAAAGTGAAAAAAATTAATGTAGATGTAGAGAAGCAAAGATATATTAATTAAAGAAAGATGTGGCGGGCTATGCTGGCTATATAACAGAAAAATAAAAACTAAAACTATATGATAAAAGGAAAAATAAAATAAAGTAGCAAATGCAGAATCTGAAACTGATAGTTTGTTGATATTGATATTGGTTGTTGAAAGAGTGCTCCTCTATTTATAGATAATCCTAATTTGGTATTCAAGTGATATCCAAATTTTATAATTGCTAGTTTCTTTGAATTTAGAAACTACTTCCTTCATCGTGGTTTTTCATCATGGGTGAAGTGTGGATGGTATTGATTTAATGGCTAAAGTTTCATAAATATTTTTTTTTAATTATTTTAAAATCAATTAAGTTAAGTTGAGCCTGAATTTCTAAATTTATACTTTGGGTGTAAACACATGCATATATAATAATAATTAGCTTCTGAGATATAATTAATAAATAAAGTTCACATTTTAAAAATAATTTTGTAATATCGTTATTCCCAGCTTTTTATTGTGAATAAGGTCCTCTGAACAAACAAGGGTCAACCTTTTGGTCTATATAGCTTTACTCATGAAATAGTAAAAGTATATTTTTCATTATTTAACTTTACATGAAGTTTTATTTTAAAATTTTATTTTATAAAATATTTTTCAAATTCTCCAACATTCGATCTTACCGCTATTAGTTTTTATTAACAAAAATTGCTGGATTTTATTTTTTAAATGTTAAGAAAACATTTTTTTTTTATTAAGAACAGGGCAATAGCCCTAACAGAAGCAAATAAAAAAAAAAACAATCTCTCTTGAGCATGAAATGCCCATTACATCCCTATGCAAACAACTAGATAAACCCTCAGGCGACCCTCTAGCAGCTGGACAGACTTGGTCTGAAGGAAGCTCCATTTTGCTAGCCAATCAACACATCAATTTCCCTCTCTGTGTGTATACGAGCCACGAAACTCACAATACTTCATAAATTGACCAGCCATATGCATAAAACAATCACAGCTTTCTCCAGCTTGCAAAAATTCCTCCAAACCCCTTGCTAGCTACATACATAGAATCAGTTTCAATAATCACTTTCTTCCCTTCAAAATGATGGATTAATAACATGCCCGTCAGCAAAACCCACCACTCTGCATGCTCACTACTACTACTACATCTACCCAATATGCGTGCAAATCAACCTAATTAACCATCTCCCTTCATGATCACGAAAAATACCTCCACATCCAGCCTCCATATTCCCCCTCATAGCACCATCAATATTCAATTTAATCCACCCCTCAACCGATGTCATCCAACTTACTATAGTATAGATTTTCCTCTTTTCCTTCCACTCATCAGTAAACGCCTCCCTAACCTCCCTAACATACTTCCTTATAACCAAGACAAGATTTTCAAGCCTTATATAACCTTCCTCAAATAAGCAACTATTTGTCCATACCACAAAAACCAAGTAGTGACAGCAAATAACATCTCCTAACCAGCCACTGAACTTTTCTAGAAGATAGATTCAGCAACATCCAATCATGCAAAGATGCTTCAAAAAAACCATCACACATCTTCCCCTATGGCAACTCCCCCCAGACTTCCTTTGCAAACCTACAATCCCTCAAAACATGCAACACATCTTGGTATATGGGAGAAGTTTTCAAACACCTACTCCTCTTAATAGTAGTAAGCAAGCATTCATTTGCATCTAACCATAAAAATACCTAAATCAATCTAGGGCCCCTCCATCCCTAAATTACTCTCCATAATTTTCCTTCCTCCATTCTATCCAAATCTTTCAATAAATCATACATAGCAGCCACCAATACTTTACCATTCACCCTCTCAACCAACACATTCTATCCTCCCCCCCCCCCCCCAAAAGGAGGACAAATTCCTTCAATACTTTCCAACACATCCCTCGGCAACCAATCCCTCAACTCCTCCAATCTCCACTTCCCATTAGAAACAACTTAATTTGCAACGTATTTTTTCCTCACATCAGCAAAAATCAATTGCACAAATTTTCCAGCAAGCTGCCCTTCCCCCCTTACCCATTTGTCTTCCCAAAAACACACCTTATTTCCACTCCTCACTTCCCAACCAACTTCCTTTTTCAACACCTCCCATAAATCACCAAGTCTCTTCCATATAACAGAATCCTTATTCTTCACTGTACATTTCTCAGTAAGAACATCTTTTCTTTAACAAAACATTTTTAAATGTTGTCATCATATTGAGTTTAATTTTTACAATAATAAAATTAACAAAAAAATAATTATTTGAGAATAATAATGCTAAAGTTAGAAGACAATATATATATATATATGTATCACAAATACTTGAATAATCTTTCATCATTCCTATTATTTTGATAGCCGTGAAGCTAGTCTTTTCCCTTCCTAAATAAATGTATATGATATTAAAAATTAATATATCAATCACACAACGTGACAAGAACTATTATTTAAATTCTATTAAGAGAGATGTTTTATATTTAATGCATGGTCGTGCCTCAAATATGATTATCTTTAATAGGAGAATACTTGTAAACAATAAAAAAAGCATATCAATTAATTATATAGAGCTATTAGATGAAGTCAACTGTTACATATTTTAAACACCTTTCCTTACAAGTATTTCATTCAAGCATACCAATTTAAAAATCTCTCATAGATATCATGGTCATGATCTCTTGCTACTTAACTATATTCTCAATCACAAAATGACTCTAGTTAATTTAGAGTCTGACTCTCTTGACACCCTGTATACATATATTGGGGGCATCTTCAAACCTTCTTTTTTTTTTTAATGAAATCAAAGAGGCATGTTCCTTATGAAGCATGATATAAGTCATAATTCATGTTTTTTAAAAAGTTAAAATTTTAATTTTGAAAAATTTCTATATCTCTTTAATTGTGTATTTGAGTATAATAAATATAAACATTTAACCTATTCAAAATATCCTCATTAATTACTCCATAAAATTAGTGTATAATTGAAAAAATATATAATCAATATTTACCCAATGTCCTATATTTTAAGCCACTACTAGAAAAAATTAGATTTGCGAGGAAATTTAGCGAGAACTTATGTATTCCTTTCTAAATGGTTGTATTGACGAGGAATTTTGCAAGGAAATTTAATTTCGTCTTCGAGAAATTATTTGGCAAGGAAATTTAGGCGATGAATAATATGTTTCTCTCTAATGTGCTTAATTAGCGAGGAATATTAGTAAAGAATACTGTAACCCTATCTAAAAGTTTAAATGATGAGGAAATTAATAAGAAAATATAGTCTTCTCTAATTAGCGAGGAATTGGCGAGAAATGATTATTCCTCTCTAAATAGTTAATAAAAAATTAAAAAATAATAATAATTAGAAGGGTTCTAATTTTATATTTACTTTTTAAAAATGTACCTATTTCATCAAACTTATTTTATACTATATTAATATATATATATATATATATAACATTTTCTAAAAATTTATAATGCCTTCTACATTAATTGTTTTTAAAAAATTATAATCTCTTCTATATAAGACAACTATTTTTACTTTATAAGATTTTTTATATTAAAAATATTTTCTTAAAAAATATATTTCTCTAAATTTTATATACCTCTAATTTATTTTTCAAGACTCCATTTTGTTATTCCCTCCATTTTGTTCCCACGCAAGTAATCTGCCCTCATTTCTTTGTGCGTTCCTCACCAGCGACTCACTCATCGTGCGGCTGCGCCAACCATAGATGCAAGAGACGCTGTCGCTCGGGCAAGGACGTGCAGGTGAGAATGCGCAAGAGAATCACTCTGTCATAGCTGATTTTGTCTTTAATCTAACCTCATCATTAACTTCATCTCCCAAATCTTGAAGTTGCAGTAGTGTTAGCCGTGTTCGAGTTCCAGTTGTCGCAGGGAGAACTTCTCTTTCACCAGGTTTTTATACGATTCAAACTACTATGTGGCTTGTTCTGTTCTTCCCAATTGTCAATGAATTGTTCTGATTTCCCAATTTGTGCGTTTGGTTTCCATGTAAGTAGAATGAGGGGACATGATTTTGTGAGATTGAATTGTGCGATACTCATGGCCGAGATAGAGATGAGGGAGAACTGAGATAGGCTTGTTCTGTTCTATGGAACATTTGTTCTTTTCTGGATCCAAAGCTCATCTATTTTCTCTTCTTTTTGGCCTGATGATCGTCATCTCAGAGGATACGTTTTCGGCGTTGATCATCTCAATGGCTCTATAATCGTCATCTCGGAGACTAACTGGAATTGTTTTCGGCCTTGATCAGAGGATATGTTTGGGCTTGGTCTGCTTCTGTCCTTTTCCCTCACCCTCCCAAGTCCAAATTGCTGGTTCTACGTTTTTCCCATTAATTATATTTGTTGTTATTAGCTATTAGTCTTATTCATTGGTAACCATTATTGGTGATTGATGATTGGTCACATATTCCGGGTACATTAGTTAACAAGGGGTATGAAATGTGACACTGATCCATATACTAAAACCTCTTGAAGACATGTGAACCAAGGAGGAGGAGGGTATATTCACGTTGTTTCCTTCAATTATTGGTGCCTTTGTTTGCTTTTTTAAAATCATTTCCTGTTTTGGAGTGATTGTCCCTGCATTTATACTCACTCTACCCCTCCTTTTGCTTTATTCTATTCAATCAAAACCAGTCACTATCTCCCTGTTTCATTTACTCATAACTCTGCCTCGGACTCCATTCTACACCACCGTGATTCAAGCCTAATATTGTGTGTTTCTGATAACATCTTTGTCTGTCTTTTTTTATTTTTTATTTTGGTAATAAGTTTATTTTTCTTTTTAAAAAAATGCTATCAGTTTCTATCTTCTCTTACAAGGAGGGTATTGCCTCCATTTTCTTGAATCGTTTTTGAGAATAATTTTTGGATCTTTGTTTATTTTTCTTGAAATGAGAGGGTTGATCTATTCTGCTGAAATATTAATTAATTGATAAGTTCATGGAGGTATTAATAGTGTGAATGTGAAGCACTGAGGCTTGATTTTGATGGGAGAGAAAGTAAGAAGAAAATAGGGAGTAAAACAATAGCAAAACTATTAAACTACATTATTTTTGTTATGTTGTTAATTTTCAAATCTCTTAAGTTATATAACTTTTCTTCACTTTCATTTATTTGTAGAGATCATGAGATCTGTAATTCCAGCATTTCACTTCCAGTATTTGCTTAAATTTTATATGCTTACTTGTATTTCGTTTATTTTATTACATTGGCATTAGTGATGTTGACATGAATGTCTTAGCTTGTTATTTAGATCCTTTGCAAAATATTCCTAATAAAGATGACGCTTTCTAAAAGAATTTCTTTTTATATTTAATATAAGTCATAGAGTTATTAATTAAAATTTGTGAATGTCTTAGCTTGTTACTTAGAAACTCCTTTGCAAACTTCTTGTTGTTGTTATTATTATTATTATTTTTTTTGGTAATGTAGAGGAATGATGGGTGATAGAAGTTGGATGTACAATAGACAAGATCAGAGTAGAAAGGGGTTAATTGAAGAATTCATAAGTGGCATAGATGAGTTTATAGAGTTTGCAATAACTCAAAAAGACTTTGTATCTAATGGCATGATATGATGTCCTTGCTCAAGATGTGATAATATAAAGTTTCTTGACATAGATCTTATCATAACTCACCTCTATAGGCATGGTTTTGTGCCCGATTACTACCAATGGGGTCCTTGCTCAAGATGTGATAATATAAAGTCCTTGCATCTGATAGCTTTAGTCCCTATAGGCAAATGTCACATAATTATTCTTGTTGGCTAGTAATTGTCACACCGTACAACCTTCCGCAAGGAATGTGCATGAGCAGCCCTTATATGTTTCTAACTGTTGTCATTCCTAATCCAAAGAGCCCTGATCAAAATATAGACTTGTATTTGCAACCTCTTATAGACGAGTTGAAAACATTGTGGTCGAAGGCAGTTGGTAGGATGAAGAAGACTGGTAAAGTTTATGGATTTAGATCACATGCTATTATGGTATGTGGAAATCATGGCAAGACCACTTGTAACATTAATATTGTTCATCCTACTCCTCCATATCCTATACCTTCACATCCTACACCAAATGTAGGAGATTTTATTCAGACACCTGCATTTGAAGCTGTTAACCATGCAATAGAGGAGAAGATAGACAATGTATTCAGCCAAAAGATATCAGAGATGAGATTTTTCATACAGCAAGATATTTTTGGGGCTATTCGTAGTTTAGGTGAGACAGTCCCAACTCCAGAGTGGTGTGCTAGCAATGCAAATTCTTCCAAGCAACCGAATCCAAATGGTGGTGGAAAATAACCATGTTATTTCCTAAGTTTTTCCTTTATTTTTTATGTATGAGATACTTTAGAACTCTTATTAAGTTTATTACTCTACTTCTTATAATACTGTATGACTTTTGATATGTGGTTAACATATTGAACCATTTGATTATGATATGACTTTTCCATATATGGATTATAGATAGATTGAACCACTTATATTATATTGTGCACTTTAGATTTCATTTTTTAGTTAATTGCTTGATTAAACAAGATTTATTTATAATCAATATTTTGATTCTTACAAAACCATTGTACAATTTAGTGACAAAATTGTGAAGAAATTATTCCTCTGTGACTAGTTTGATTTGCGAGGAATTAGTAAGGAATTAATTCATCTCTAATTGTTTGCTGTCTTAATTTTTTTTGTTGCTAATTATAATCTATTATTGAGGAAATAGTGACGACATATTCCTCACTAATTTAGCGAGGAACACATCCCTTGCAAAAAAATCTTAGCTAAAAAATGAACTTAGCGAGGCATTAGTGAGGAATTAGATGCCTCGCTAATTTTAACGAGGATAATTAGTCCTCGCTAATTAGCGAGGAAAACATTATTCCTGCTAAATATTAATGGCCCGTCATTTAGCTACACATTAGTGAGGAAATTAGTTCCTCTCTAAATTGCTTTTATGAGGAATAGATCTAATTTAGCGAGGAATAAGGTCCTTGCTAAATATTGATTTTCTTGTAGTGATAAGCAAAATTTTAAGAAAATAACTTATATTCTGATTGGAAAGGAATACATGATACATAGAGTATGGGGTTTAAACACTTTTCGTCACTTTCTATATTCTTCCAATATTTCCAATGTATAATATCACATCTTATGTTTATTTTTGTTTAATTTTATTGAAAATTTCATGCATACAATTCCATGCTCATATAAACTTTATATCAGTAATTATATAAAACTAAAATGGATAAGCAGTAGTATGTCCAAGGATTTACTTTAGTGACTCGTGTAATTTTAAAATAATTTTGAAACTCCATCCAAATACATGGGATTGATCACAGTCTAATAAAATATAAAAAGAGGGATTCTTTTAACTATATATTTCAGAGAATCTTATTCTAGAATGTATACTTGTGGTTGCTAGAACTAGAATATATATCAGTGCGATAATTATTTTCTGCATCAAATTGTATTATATTATAATTATAAAAATAAGAACAAGGATACATACTATGCAACATCAAATTACTCAAAAGATTCTTAGTTAAGTTGATGGCATGCACCCACAAAGTCACACTCAAAACCCACTCAAATGTATAAATGTCGTGCCAAGTAAAGCAAGTAACGTCTCAAGTCCATATCTAATAATTGAACCTAAAAATTCGTATGATTTAAAAGATAGATGAACAAAATTAATTCCTTTTTGAAGTCAGTGTATAATATATTAAGATAATACACACACACACTCACACGAATATTGATTACACGTGACAATCCCCCTCTCTGTTTTTTCTCCCTACACATGTTTCTTCCTGATTTGATGGTTGGCTGAATCTTCCATGTCAGTGGTATTATATTACGCTAGTTAACATCTTCATGTTAATATATAAAAAATCTACAACAATGATAAAGCATACAATTAAAATTTAAAAGCATAATATCCACATCTACAAATGACTTTACAATTCAACCGAAACATGTAAATAAAAATAAGATGAGTTTTAGACAACGTACCATAATTTGTGTGCATGTAATTTATTGTCTTGTTGAGGTCTCCTTTCCATGATTTTGTAATGTGCGTCACATAAACTTGCTTCAATTTTGGTGTCCGAGGCTTCCCCTTATCAAATATTTTCATATTTGGAATGTCCTCTGCCATAACGATCTCTAACTCTGGGAATTTGCCCAAATCAAGCTCTTCACAGAAACTGGTGAGTTTTGGAAGATGTTTGAGTTTTGGAATTCGCCCAAATCCTCTCCAAACTCTTGAACAGTACTGCTCCTGCAAATTCTTCAAAACTTGTTCCTCCTCCAACAACTTGAACTATATTTTCACAATCATATGCCTTTACCGACTTCAGAACGGACAGGTGTTTAGCCACTGGAATGGAGAATAAATCTTTTTCGCCTCCGCACCAGATGATTTGGAGTGATGTCAGCTTTCCCCACACTTGACTCTGAGGTTCTTTTTGCCACAGTTACTTGATGGGTACATCACTCAACGCCACTTCTTGTAAATGAGGCAGTAGTGATTCAGAAGCAGAATCTTCATTTATGTCAAACAACACTTTAGATTCAACACCACCCACTTTTATAAGATACAGTTTCTCTAGCTTTTGGAAACAATCCTACTCATATGTATAGTAGATTAATTATCGTCATAAGCAATTTATGGTTGCCAGCCATGCACAGAAAATGAAGACTAGTTGACATGAAATATATAAAAAGGAAAACATAATTTTAGGTCCTTGTATTTTGCTTACATTTTGCTATTGATTCTTTTTTTTTTTTTGTGCTTTTTTTCCCTATACGTTTGTTTTTATTATTTTAAGTACTTTTATGAACAAAGTATAAAAATTTTAGAGGGATCTAAAATAATGAAAAATAAAAGTATAGGAACTAAAAACACTGAAAAAAATATAGAAACTAATAATAAAACACGAACAAAGTATAGGAATTTAAAGTTATATTTTTCCTGTATAAAATAAACACACTCATTTGCCAAATCCGGGAAGAAGAAGTTGGTTTCTGTTGAGGAAACATTCCTTGAAAATGTTTCCATGGCACGACAGTTGACTATTCTCACTGTTTAGAGGGATGAAAAGTCAAATTCCTCCAGGGAGTAGCATGAAAGCTTCGAAAGATTTTCAAGAACGATAGTTTTCAAATGACTGGAAGGTCGTTTCTGGGCCATTTTTGCTGTATCAGTGAAAATTTCTTCCAAACTGTCACAGTCAGAAATCTCAACGCCTGTCAGCATGTGACAGGTGATGAGGGCAGGTACAAGTGTAGAAGAAGACCACATCTTTTTACTCTTACAATCTGTAGGTTCTGAAACGCCAATATTGAATCATTCTTATGTATGTGCTTCAAGTTGGGTGGGCAAATACGTACCGGTTCTCTCAGCATTGGTAGAGGATTATTCAAGTGTCCACACGTACGACTTCCTCTAACAAGTTGCAGTTTTCTATCCTTAATGCCTCCAGATGAACGAGTTCTTCAAGTAATACAGTGGAAAGTGGACTCTCGCGTGAACCACAATCAATGACTTGTAAGTCACTTAGATTCCCAAGTTTGAGAATTCCCCTTGGATCCTTGCTCCATTTGGATTTCAACCTAAGTAGACCGGGCAGTCTCAATATCTTTTTTTTATTATCGTCGTTATTGAACTTAAAATTCCTAATACCTTAAGACAAGGGAAGGAACAGAGAAAAAGGGGTTATGGTTCTGCAGTAAAATCATTTAAACAACTCAATAATTTATAAATTAATACTTAAACTATTTATAACTCTATCTACTTACGTGTAATAATAAACAAAAATATGAATAAATTATTAATTTATTCTAATTTTCATCATCACCATTCTCCTAAATCATGAAAATGTACTTTTTATGTATTATTTAAAAAATATTTTCTTGATTACTTTTAATCTTGAAGATAGATAACCTAAGTCTAGTGGACTATTATATGAAGTTTATTTAAGACTTTTCTTCAAGAGTTGAATTACTAACCAGGCTAATAGAAAGGAAGTAAAGAGAGCAAAATAAAGAGAAAGACAAACTCTTATACACTCATGTAATGTATTTAAACTCAATGTAGTGTTATGTAATAAGGCAATTATGACTTGAAGAAAAGGTTTAAAATATGCTACATAAATAATTAGGATGAAAATTAGTCATATTATAAACTTGTATCCCAATATTAAGCTAGCATTTAAGGCTTGTTAGAAGAGAAGAAAAGGAAAGATATCAAACAATAAGTAAGTACAAGTGACAGGAAAAGCCTAACTTAAAATTATAGAAAAAAACTTTGAACCTTTCAATATTAAAAAGCCGAAAAGAGATTTGGATGTTGGCCACTTTATGCTAAAGTTAAGCCTAACAAAAGTCAAGCAAATTAGACCAAAATACTTAGTTGTTTAATGGGCTTTATATTTTGAAATGTGAAGCCCAAGAGAAATTAAAGTTCTTTTTGCCAACCCAAGATAAAAAAGTTGCTTGGCCCGGTTCAACAAATCCGGCCTTTGGCGAAGTTTAAAAAAGAAATTGACACTGGGCTTTGTATTCTTGAATTGAGCCTAGTAAACTATCCTCCTTAAGCTTAAAAGAATTAAAGAATAGCTGTTGTGAAATTAATTAAATATTATTGAAATATTCTAAATTATTGTAATATTCTTTTTGGATACAATTACCCATGAATAATGGGCCGAGCCAAATTATTGCAATATTCTAAATTTATATGATTTATAACAAAAAATGTGACAAAAATCTAGGTGATTAGAGACATAAAACACACATTGGTAAAATGATAATATCAAAGATTAAATCAAAAATTATTTTTTAATATAAAGATCCAACTATAACTTTTTAAATTATGAGCACGAAATTATGAAAACCGTGAATCAACTTTTCACACCCACACACACACAGTTATATTAACTTTTATCTTAAAAAATGTAAAAGTTTAGAATCTTTGGACCTCTTAGAAGAGTTTGGAATGATTCTTCGCTTCGCTGCAGAACAAGAATGATGAGATGACGACGAAAAGAATTCAAAGAGAACATATAAATACTTGTTCTATTTGGAGGCATGCTTGTTCATTTCATTAGTTTAACTTTCAAGTATAGTGCCTATTAGTTTTCACGTGGTTAATTATATATTATTTGGTTGATTAATTAATATCAAAAATGGGGGAAGAAGCTGTTCCTGATCTCAGTAATAATGTTACATCAGTACTTGAATCGATGAATTTGGATTTCAAGCACTTAGCTGATGGTGTTGCTGTTGCTCTTCTTGTTATTGCCCTTTCGTCTGCATATTTCTACTGCTACAACTTGTTTCTTAAACCCAAGGGTGATCCATTAATTATTTCTTTATTATTATTGTTATTATTTTGTAGATTAATTGATTTTTGTGTATTAATTGATAATTGATTTATTTCAGCTTGTTTGGATCGTAAGAACTTCAGAGAATTCAAGCTTGTGAAGAAGACAAATCTGAGTCACAATTCTGCAAGATTTAGATTTGCTCTTCCTACACCTACTTCAGTTCTTGGCCTTCCTATTGGAAAACATATTAAATGCAGGTCCTTTATTTGTTTATTTATTTATTTATTTTGATGACAAAATCCATTGGAGAAAGAAATATATATATAGGATAGATAGGATGAGTCTCTCTTCTTCCTTGTTTATATTGTCATTCTTTTTTTCTACAAGATTTTAAGCTAGAGATTTTTTTTATGTATATTGTTATATGAATGGATTAAATTCAAACATTGTCGAACTCACTTGGAAATAACTCTCCTAAAAGTATTTTTTTTATTTTAATAAGTATTTTAAGTTAGAGAATTTTGATTCACTCTTTATAATTATTTTTCTTATAAGGGCTTCTTCGGCTTCAACTTGACTAACACCCTCTAAATAAGAGAAAATATTTTCTTGTTGCCTAAAACTGGTAATTTTCAATCACATGTTTAGAAAATTAAATAATTGTGCGAACTGGCTTGCTTATCAAGTTTCGAATAATAATATTGATGTTTTGATTTTTGACAATCCACCAATAAGGTGTTGATGTTTTATGAGTCTGCAACTTTTTCTCATTACATGGTTATCTGTGGCTTTATATTTTAAAAAAAATTGATAATTTTCACCATCTTGAATAAGTCTAAAAAACATAAGGTCAAGCATGAAAAAAATCATATTTCTCCTCATAATTGCACTTTTTGGGGTAGCTGGAATAGACCCTAGAAAGTCTAGGTCTCCTCTCACCCATTCCTTTACCTTGTTGATTTTTCTCACCTACCAAACATGGTAGAAGAAAATCAACTATATTGTATTATATTTGCTCTTAGGTATACTATCCTAATTTTTAAATATTTTGGGATCTATTTATGATAAATTTTACCATCCCTATATTATTTAATATATATAAATTTTCAATTTGTCAATTTTTTTGTATTAAAAATATTGAAAAAATCAAACAGATAAAAAAATTACACATTTGTGTTTCAAACTGCTGTTCTGTACATTTTCTTGTATTTTTCCAGCAAGAAAATTTTGATGTTTAGATTAAAGATGAAAACTATTTTTGATCCAAACAAAATATAAAACTTGGATGCTTCATTATATTGTGTAAGCAGGGGAAGAGATAGCCAAGGAGAGGAAGTCACCAGACCATATACCCCAATCACTTTGGATTCAGATGTTGGCTACTTTGAATTGGTGGTAAAGGTATTATACATATATTAAGATTAAATTGTCTAACTTATTATAAATTTTACTAAAATCATATTTCTTTAGTTTAAAACATATGAAAATATGTCCTGAAACAAAATAAAATATCTTACATTCAGTTCTAGTTTATTTTATTAATTTATTTTGGACAATTTTACATAAAATTAATAGAAATAAGACAAAGGGACAATTGGTTTCTGATTAAGAAAAAAGTAGCTTTTAGATAATTTAGATATTTTATAAAAAGATATTTATTCTATAAAGATTTAATAAAAAGTATAAATTTTTTAAATTTGGTTATAAGAATAAAAAAGTACTCCTCTATTCAAAAATGTAAGGCATTTTTAACCTAATCTCATCCCCTACTAAAGTAGTTACCTACTTTCAAACTAACTCTATCTTTTTATATTTACTCCTATTAAATACCTTACAATAAATATAAAGTTATTATTAATAAGAACACTTTTAAAAAAATAACAATGATTATATCTTAAAAAACTAAAAATAATTTATATTTTTTAAAATTCAACTTATCAAAAAAATGCTTTTCATTTTTTAACAGAGAGTAATTATTAGTTATTTATTTTTTAATTTTGTGTTATCATCCTTCATTTCTATTTTATAAAAATAATTTATTATTTAATTATTTTAAAATTTTATAATATTATCCCATATTTTTAAAAAATTATTATCAACCATAGCACCATATTATTTTAACTTCTCAAAATAACTTATTAAAATAATTAAATGTTTTTTATTTTAATTATTTTTAAAATTTTAAGAAAATATTGTAAAATCTCACAAAATAATTTTCTTAACAAATAATTTTTTCATGAAATAAGCTAAAAAACAAACGGGTCTAAATTATATTTATTTTATATAATTTCTAAATATATAATTTTTGATACCTTACACATGAAAATAATTTTAAAATTGTTATTTTATTCCTCTATCAAAATAATATATATATATACTCCCCGTTCAAAAATATAAGGCATTTTTTTGAGGAATTGGATATTTAAAAATGTAAGTATTTTTAATCTTTCGAGGTGTAGTCATTACCTTTTTTTAAAAGTGCCCCTATTGATAATAATTTTATATTTATTATAAGATATTTAATAGGGATAAATATAAAAAAGATTGGGTTAGTTGAAAAGTAGGTAACTACTTTATTAGAGGATAAAATTTGGTTAAAAATATTTTATATTTTTAAACTGAGAGAGTATATATTGGCCAATATATTATATACACACACATTAAAGTAAGATAATTTTTATTTAAATGAGGAAAATGTAAATTTAACAAAACTCATATTAAATATTGTATGATTTATGTATAAACTAAAATGATATATATCATCTCAGATTTGCATATTTAAATTTAAATTTAGTATAACTTTGCAGATGTATCCAAAAGGAAGGATGTCTCACCATTTTAGAGAGATGAAAGAAGGTGATTGCTTGGCCGTCAAGGGTCCTAAGGTACTTTTATATATATATATCCACTTTTAAAAGTAGTGTAAAATTATGTTTTAATTACTTGTATAGGTTTTCAATTTTATTTTTAAGTATTTTGGCATTTAGTCTCTCCACTATTAAAATTATATTATGAGACATCTTATTAGTACTATTGTGTGTGTATTCAATATTAATGTTCTCCTTTCCCTTATTCTATTTATTCAAATCTAATACATTATTGGCTTGAATATGTGCAGTTCTCTGTAACATTATATATCAATACATCCTCAAAAAGGAAAAATATCAGAGGTAGAAGGTCAAATATAAAATTACTTTCACATTTATTTACCCATTAAATACCCAACATCCAACTTTTTAATTTGAAAAGTCTTGAATTCCACCTTCACGTAAATTTGTTTTCCAAAAAGTCCTTTTGGATAAAAATTAATACTTAAATAATTTTGGGCTTCCTGAAAGTGCAAATAAAGATTTTTGAAGTGTTAATATGTAATTTGAACCTTGAATTATAGGTTTAAAGATAATTTAAATCCTAAACTCATTTAATACATTCTGAATACTAAATAATTAAATTTATAGCAATTTCACTTCAACCATTAAATTAAATCAAATGACCGTTACTTTTTAAAACAAAAGACGTAATGTACAATTTTTTCAAATTTTACTCTCCCTTTATCCTACTCTCTTTTGATTTAACAATGAGGACAAAATTATTTCAAATTTAATTATTTAGGATTTATAATATACCAAATATAATTTAAAGTTTAAATCACTCGTAGATATATAGTTCAAGGTTCAAATTGTGTATTAATTTTATTTTAAATGTGAAATGTTGAGTTACCAAATAGGGCCTAAGTTTGGTGTCAATTTAGAGATGAATAATATGATGGAGAGAATAACAACAAAAATATTTTAATAATTGAGAGATTAAATAAAAAATTTTATCTATAAATTATTTTCTTGTCTCAAATAATTTGAAATTGTTTGATTGATCAACTATAAAATTAATTTAATTTAGTTTGTTATTTCCTGATAAGTTTTATCATATAAAAGCTCAAAAAGCAAGGAAAAGGAAAACCCATTCAATAATGGGCTATGATTCAATGTGGTCGTTTATAGGGACGTTTCAGTTACAAACCAAATCAAGCTCGCGCGTATGGAATGCTCGCTGGAGGTTCTGGCATCACCCCAATGTTTCAGGTACAATTTTTTTAAATAAATTATAATTATAATTAAGGACACACTAATAGCTTTTTTGAAAAAATATTATTTTTGGTCTCTACATTTTACTCAAGTTTTATTATAATTTTTTACATTTTTTTTAATATTTTAGGTCTCTACACTTTTATTTTTCAGTGCTCTAGATCCTTTTATAAATTTTATTTTAAAATACCAAAAATAAAAATATAAGGACTTAGAATATTAAAAAAATACAGGAACCTATAGCAAAATTTCAAAAGGAACCCAAAGTTATGTTTTCTTAGTTTTTTTTATTTTATAACTTATAAATAGTATAATTAAATAAATGCCTATTCTTGGACATCTACAAGAAATCTCAAGCAAATCACACCATTTGTAATTTATAAATAGCATAAATTTTATTATGGATGCATTTTTAAATTTATTTGAAATTTTATTTTTTTAATTCTATTTTATCTTCTTTGCCTTATCTCAAATATATTCTATTCTTTCACGTTTATTTTATTTCAATTTAACCTCCTAATTTTATAAAGAGTTAAGGGCCAATTTCACTTTTAAACTATATATCTAAAAATGTTTGAGATTTTAAACTCATTTTTGAAGTGATATTTTTTTTTAATTTTTAAAAATAGTACAACATCATCTCTACCATTAATAAAAATTAACTTTCATTAGTTGTCCTAAAATAAGAAAGAAAATTATAAAAAGATTCAAAAATTACAGACAATGACCTAAAAAATTATTAAAAAATAACTAAGAAATTACAGAAAATGATTAAGAAAATTTTCTTGATTCTTTTTCTATAATGTTTGAGGTTATATTATATAATTTGCTAATCAATTAACAATCAAAGTCAGCTCTTATTAACAATAAAGGCAAAGGCGGCGGCGACGTTACATCATTTTTGGAAGTTAAAAAAGAATATTATATCAAAAATAAATTTAAAATCTCAAACAAACTTACTTATAATTTAGGAACAAAATTACCACTTAATGTTTTTATGAATGTTTGCAGAACGTGCTAAAGAAGTCAGTTTTCTCCTATGCTCCGCTTAATTTAAGATCAGGTTTCAAAATTGTACAAAATGAAACATGAAATGAAAATAAGAAATTACATTAAAGTAATAATTTTTGAAGCCACGTGTATTAAATTAAAGTAGAATTAAACATGAAGGGTTATTAAATTAATTATATTTATTTCAGCCATTAATTAGGACCATGACATGCATGTATCTGTACGTGTTTATATTTCTTGCAGATCACACGAGCCATACTAGAAAATCCAAAAGACAAAACGAAACTGAACCTTATTTATGCCAATGTTACAGTGGATGACATTCTACTAAAGGTACAGTATTGTTAATTAGTGTTGAAAGCTAATTGTCCATGTAAATAAAAAGAAAAAAGAAAGAAAGAAAAAAAAACACACACACACACACAATGAACAATATTTATCTATTTTTTTCACAAGTCTAGAGAAGTATATGGGACACACATCTTAGATAAAATTTAAAAATTTAAATCATCATTTAAAATTATTATTATTATTATATTATTATCAGTATTTTATATACTATATATATATATATAAACCTTGTAAATGACTTTGGTTTTGCCATATCACATGTTGATTTCTCACACATCACTTTTATTTGATATGGGCAGAATATTACGTTGCTGCTCGACAGTTAAAGTCAAAATAATGCTATTACCCATTCTTTTTTTTGTCTGGGTTATCTAGTAAAGATATCTTTGCATAGTTAGCATTGCCTTTGAAAAATATAAATTTTTTTATATATTAATCAGAAAATTCGAAATTTAATAGTCAAAGCTAAATATACACGTTCTTAATCCCAAAGCTAATTCTCAAAGGCTCTACTAATCTCACAACTCACTCTCACTTTTTTTATGATGACAATACACCCAAAAATGTTTGCCTATACTCATTAAGACAATAAAATATATATACTATCAATTATAACAACAAACATTCTCCCACTAAGTGAAGTTAGATACATGAATTGTACATATTAATCAAAAAAAAAAAATTGTACATCACCATTATGCTCTCTACCTTTTACCAAGATTTTACAAATGCTAACTAAAATATTTTCATCAATATTTTTTATAGGTATTTTCTTTAACCTTCTTCTATCCCTTTTAAAAAAGCTCAAAATTATTCGTTCTACTTTCTTCACTAGCGTCTCCTTCAATCCTCATTATACATGTTCAAACTATCTTAAATTAATTTTTTTATCATTTTTCATTCAATAGGTGCTACACGTATGTTTTCACGTATACACTCATCTTGAATTGTATCTTTACATGTATACCAACACATTCATTTCAACATTCTCCTCTCTACTACTTCAATTTTATACTCTTACGATTCCGTTAAAGCGCAAACATTCACCTCCATATAACATAGCTGATCTCATGACATTTTGATAAACCTTCCACTCTATCAATTATTAAAAGAATCAAATTTAAATTACTTGCACACATAAAGGTATGAAATTCGGTGCTGGCTTCAATCCTTTTTTAGTTTGGTTTCTGTGTGATTGGTGCAGGAAGAAATTGATGAGTTGGCAAGCAAGTATCCTGACCGTTTCAAAGTTTACTATGTTCTAAATCAGGTTTGTTGCTTTTCTTCAATTCCCTATTGCATCCTAACACACATCAAAAGAAAAGAAAATTAAGACATTTACATATGTTTCTTGTAATAGTGAGTATGCCCTCTTTCTTAAACTTAAACATTAATTTCAGTTTTTATTTTTTTATTTTTTGGTGAAACATTAATTTTAGTTTCATGTATGCATATGCTATGTCAAAATTATACTGGCAATAACAGTATCTTATAATGGTCGGTAAAAAATAATAATGATGATGATGATAATAATACCTTATAAGCTAAGTAAGTAACGAGGAATTCAATGCCTCTTGAGTTTGAATTTTGTTAATGAAAAGAGTTTTGGAACATTGAATGGGTCCACCCGACTGGGCTTGACTTAGGTTGTGGAGGGCGAAGTCCAAGGGTAGAATGCAAATTCTAAAGACTATACAAGACTTTTTTTTTTTTCTTTAAAGAAAAAAAGTACATTGATAGTTATAAGAATAAAATTTATGAAAAATGAAAGAAAATGATTATCCAGAATCAACATCTGCTGCATTTTATACTTAATAAACATTATACTTTCATCTGAATGAAAGATGCAAGTCAGAAGGATGTTTACAAGCTTTTAATTAATAACAAAGGTTTAATTTCCTCCAAAACTATAAAAGAAATCCACAATCATGACTATAACATATTTACTACCACTATTATCACTCAAACAAGAAGGAAGAGTAAGTTTAACGAATTTACTTTCAATCATTTGATTACCCTAATCAAGTTTCAAAGAAATATTCAAATATAAACAAAAAAGTCCATCACTATGTTTAACTTTGCGATCATTATTCACCTTACTTCTACAAGAAAACTAAATATTCTTTTTCACAATAATTTATTAATTTGATATTATTATATGCTATTAGAGAAAATAACAATTTATTTTATTTTCCTTCCCACACTTGGCAGCCTCCTCAACCATGGAATGGTGGGGTTGGGTTCATATCAAAGGAAATGATTCAAACCCATTGTCCTGCACCTGCATCTGATATCCAGGTATGTTTAATACTGCCACCAGTCCAAAATATAAACTGCTTCAACAATAATCCGTATACCAATAAAATTCTTGTTCTAATATAACATATATATTGTTTTCCTTTTTTTTACCCTTAGTCCCAATTATCAATGATGAGTGAAAAGAATGTCATAAATTCACACAATTTAGGTTGATAAATGCAATGTGTAAGAGGGGAAAAACATTTCTACAACTACTAAGTTAATTATATTTTGAACCAAAATCAACTGAAAGATAATGCTTATATTTTGGATCAGAAAGAGTACAATTGGAATGAATTTCCTTTTCATATAACCAACAGTTTCAATATTAGTCTTTTTGTCAATAAAAAAATAAGATTTAACTGCAACAAGTGTGTTTTCTTCAGAGATTCCCTAATGCATTTACAAAGTTTCAAACACTAAAACTAAAGAAGATTAACAATTCAAGAATAGAGATATTAATCTTCTCTTCTCATTTTTGCACAAGCTTTTGCTTCACGGTCATATTATGATCCTTATTAATTGTTACATTTTGCAGATACTAATGTGTGGTCCACCAGCAATGAATAGAGCCATGGCTGCTCACCTTGATGCACTTGGCTACGCACCAAATATGCAGTTTCAGTTCTGATTGTTTTCCTTTTCTCTCTGAAATGGTTGTTGCTATTTTTTATTTAATGATTTGTATCTCATATATCAAAGAATTATAGCAAATAATAATAATAAAATGGAAAAGATTGTTGCAAGACAAAGTTTGACATCACTGCAACTATTGTTATTGTTCATTTTAAGCTTTTATCCCTCATTAAACCCTTTTTTTTTTGTTAACATTAAACCAGAATGATATAAGTTATATGTAGTATAAAAAGTATGGTTTTAAAAATTTCTATAACAGCATTGTTTCAGCTAATTGGCTAAGCATATATATAATCCCCAGGAAAAAAAAAAGGGTGATAAAAAAAGAAAAGAGCATGAGTAAATTGATGTTTCTGAATCGCAATAACCCCTTAAATATCTGTAACTGAACATGGATCAAATGTACATTATGAAACAGTGTGGAATCAATATCCAAACTCTTACCTCAACCTTTCCAGCCTTCAGCATTTGGATTCGCGTGCATTACAGTGTTATAGGAAGAGTTAGAAGCCCAAACACTGCTGATTAACTAGATTGGGAAGCAATTTGGATATGTATTAAGTCTGTCTGCTCAATCCTGGAATGTAAACTCTGCAATTGCAATGACAAAGTCTTATCAACTTTTATTTCTCAAAAAAATGACCTCAAGACTGCCCCGGATTTTTAAAACAATTATTAGTTGCTACTGGAAAGCATACTTCTAAAAAATATTTACTGCCTGGTACTTAAGGAAGGAGAAAATTGGGCCAAAATCAAACTAGAATCATATGTAGGAGCCAAATATTAGAATCATATGTAGGGAGTCTTATTATATGACTAGAAAAATCAGGGCCTGAATATATATTACCTTATTTGCAAAAAAGAAGCTAACATTTACTACCCACGAGCATGGCTTGCCTTTATCCATGAGGCATAAATTCCATTTTCTTTCACTCTGCATAAATGCAAATAAAGGAATGGTCCATTATCACAAAAATTCTTTTGTATATGAACGTAAGACTTGATTTTCTTTTCTTTTATTGGTCAAATATAAGACTCAACTAAAAACACGCACATTCAACTGCATAAAAACAAGAATACAGACACAAATGAATTTTATATATATATATATATATATATTCATTCAAGAAAAGGCCAGGAATAAACAATGAATCTTTTAGGCACTTGATGCAAAGGAGTTAAATGGTTATATATTTACAATATAGGTACTTGATGAAAATGAAAAGTCTAGGAATAATAAACAAGCATTAGTAAATACATGCAGATTAACATTGCACATTAGTTAACTGAAGCCTCCCCCACCCCTCTCTTTTTTCCTTTTTTTTTTTTACCTTTTCGTTGGGGATGGGGCGACATTCATCAATTAGTCAAGCTCAATTTGTCCATAAAGTATAGAAAGTTTACTTACAAATGCATGTCATCTTGATTGATATCAGGGAATAAATTAATATAAAAGCGAAACCCATCAGGGCTAATATCCCTGCAGAGTAAACCTGAAAATGATTTGACATTTTATCAGTTCATAGTTATGTCAACAAGAATATTGAAGAGTTGAATGGCTGCATACCCTTGCTCTCGGCAGTAAGGAGATGCTCCTTTGCCATTGCCGGGGCAACTCCTAGTGTCCTTGCAGCATCACCAGCACTTATCCCAGCTCGGAGAGCATCAGGCTTCAGAACAAGCATCCTTATTTTAGCAAAAACCTGCACCCAGGAGCCTTAGCTACATAAATTTGATTTCCACGGGAAGCACAGTTATTTGAAATCAGAATACTCGTAAATATAAATAGCTGGACTAGGGTTTCAATCACGACAGTTACCCTGATAGGTAAAATCACAAAGAGAGATTGATATAAACCCATCTTTTAAATAACCAAGTAAGACGACACATTGGAATTAAATAATAAATTGCAATCAATCAGGCAGTGCCGCAGATGCTAGCAGATATCCTAATTTCCTAACCTTGGTCTTTTCTTTTAATGTTTGTTATTATCGTCATTATTGAACTTAAAATTCCGAATACCTCAAGGCAAGGGAAAGAACAGAGAAAAAGGATTATGGCTCTGCAGTAAAATCATTTAAACAACTCAATATCTTATAAATCAATACTTAAACTATTTAATGAAAAAAAATAGCATTGAAAATTTATTAACTTTTTAAGTCAGTATGACATAACTTGCACAGTACATATTCTTTACAGTAATAATCCCCCCGTTTTATCCGGTATGCAAATAGAGTTTCATAACGTCACTTCCAGAAGATGAATGGAAAGATGATTTTTCAAAGGTAATCACAACATGACAACCTACATTTTTTTTTTTTCCGGTCAATACATAATACCTTATATTGACTACTCCCAAAAGAGAGAAATCGACTTTGAAAAAACAATAAAGATAACAGATAGAAAAAATCACCTCCTCATCGCTATGGGATTTATTCTGTATTACCATGACTCCACTATCAAACTTACGTAGTAGCACTGGGCTGAAACAATGAATGAGATAGTTAACGTACAAAATACATTTAAGAGAACACCAATCATCTTGAAAAAAGTAGAACTCCTTGGAGTATGATTTAATCTGACCTACTGACAATGTTTGCACTACAGAACCAATAAACAAATGCACCAATACACGGGTAAAAATCACAATGTTATACATACACATCAAACTTTTCCCAAAGCATGCAAGCTTGCAACAAGTCATCAGGTGAGATCAATTCTGCACGAAAAGCAGATCAGCCAACCAAAACAGGGAGGTATAGACAATTTTGCCAAGAAACAAAAGGCTATCATATCCACAGAAATATAAAAGCTAGGGGTGTTGATCAACACCTGTGCCACGAGCACGATTGAAGAGGCAGTAGATATCAATGAGGTTGATCATTCCTCCAGCTCTGTCAAGTGGAATTTTAACAAAATCTGCCAACTATGCATTAGCAAGAAAAAATTAGTATTTTAAAACTACATTTAAAAATGTGAAAAAGAAATCTGAGTCAAAAAGAACAGGTAATACTGTAGCATTGAAAACATTGAGACCATAAAAATTCTCTGTTACTTCTATGTAATGATGAAAGACATACCAATTCATAAGCATGCACAATGAAAAGCCAAAAAAAAAAAAAGTATGATAACCATATGTCAATGTTAAAAACCTAAAAATCCATACCAACCACCCCAAATATTAGAGGGAGAAAGTTTCAATGAGCTTAAGCCTTGCACGAGATTCCGATCAACATAATAACGAAGTCCTTCATAATCCATAAAAGCAGATAGTAGACGGCCTGTCTTCCAACCTCCATTCTCCTCACATAATTTGAACTATATTGCGATTTAAATGAGGAATCAAAGTGCAAATCATTTTAAAGGAAGGACTACTGTAGATCTGAATGGTCCTGAATGATGGGAGGAGACTACAAAGCAATAGATTATGGAGTTCAAAAACTAGTGAACAAGTGATTTTACCGTTTCTACAGATATCAAAAGTACACGGGCACTTTAAAATTCATTTACACTTGTATGATTGGCTGGAAAGAAAAATGGATTCTTTTCACACAAACAGAAGTCAAATGTCATCTTCCGATTAAGGGCTTGGAATTATGCTGAATTTTTTTGGTCTCAAACCTTCAATCATCATCCTTGGAATTCCTCTATTAAACAAACTAGTAATATAAGGCTCCATGGTCAAATCCATTGCTCTCATCCATTCAACAAAAAACAATCTTTAAAATGCTTGGACAAAACAAGAAATCCTTCTTAAAATGAACATCTTAGTTGACAAGCAATAAGACTTGACTGAATTAGCAGAGAATAAAAGAGAAGGACAATAACCTGGCGAGATAACTGCTGATGATACAAAGCACCAGCAGATTCTTTCGTAACAGGTGATATAATACCAACACTCAATAGCCAATCTTGCATCTCTTCCTTTGAACCCATCTCCTCATCGTTTGCTTCATTGGTTTGAGAATTTGATCCAGACAAAAGTTTTAGCCTCATTTTCTCTGCTAGTGTCACCATCTCTTTAGCCTTGCTCTGTAATCCCAACATCAAGCCAAAACAACTTAACACAAAAGTCCAAAACACAACGAGTTAATCAATAAATTAACTACAGAACTTATAGTAGACCTAACCACAATGCTGCCACGATCAAGTAGGAGAAAGGTGACATCTCTTTAAACAATATTAAGGTAAACCCGGCTGGCAAGCTTAGCAATACAATTAACAGAAAAATTACTTTTTATGTGGAGCATTAGAAAATATATTGAATGAATAATTTAACTCATCTTGCTGATATGGATCAGATTGTCATTTCCATTTTTATCTAAAAAGGACTGCTTGCTCAATGAGTTAATGGATAAAGGAACAATTTATAATCCATACCATGAGACTACACATATTATAGAAGAGCAAAAGTAGGATTTAAGATCCAATTAAAGAGGTGGTAGAGGAGGAAGGATTTTCGGACACCTTTCCTAGTGTGATCAACATGTAGAGTTGTCAGCATGCATACAGTAGTAACAAATCTAAGTTTCTGTTCTAAAGTTGTATCTTAGTAAAGCTACAATGATTTTAAGAAAAAAAGACAATAGAAAATGGGAGTGCTCTGAAGCAAACATCAGACAAAATTCTAAGGTCCTTAAATACTACAGCAAACTTGAGTTCTGGTGCACAATAAAATTCGATATATTCCTCTCTTCAATTTTCAATACAACAAGGCCATTGCCCTCATAAACTGCAACCATATAAGTTTAACATAATGCACCATTCCTTTCTGAGTTCTCGCAATAGATTGTCAGAAATTAAGAGCATACGTGGACGTATTACCATGAGAGCATTCAAATCCTGGAAAGCTTCCTGCAAGGTTCTATCTGTGCTCTCCCAACTTTCCTGCTCCTTCCTCAATATTCCCGATACACCCACCATCCTCAAGGTCCCATCACTTGAAAACATCCCGCTAGAAGAAGCATTCGAACCTGACCCAGAACTTGAACTCGGCTCACTCTGCAACTCCCAAGCCCTCGCCCGCCAACTCTCCCAAAATTTCGACAAGAAAACATCACTGTCCCCCTTACCTCTCATGACGATCGTCACCACCACCGATCTGGATATCGAACCCGAGTCAGTAACCCGACCATCTGACGATAAAGAGAGCTGGAAACGTATCCTTGGGGAAGCAAACATGGATTTGAGAGATTTTTTGGGAGTGAAAATGTGGGAGATTGCGCCTAGAGGAATCGCGGAGGCGGAGCTTCCAGTGGCGGTGGCGGAATCAAGTAGCCACAGTAAGCGGTGGGTGGTGAGGATGAGGATGCCTGATTTGAGATGAGGAAAGGAACTGGAGGGATCATCTTCGCAAAGAAGATCTACAGAGGAGAGAAGATAACATTCAATTTCATTAGGGAGAAGCACAGGTCGACCGCTTCCGGTGAGCTCAACCGCCGGCAAGCAGTGTCTGGCCATGGGATAGTCGCTGGTCAGCGACAAGATTTGGCGTCTTTTCAAAGCTTCCCCACAAATTCTGAAGAAAACGATCTTGCGGAAGTACAAGTTTAAATCCTATGATTATATATGGTACAAGGGTAGGGAAAAATTACAGCTACTGGGTGGTGGAGTCCAAAAACATTGGCCAATGGCCATTGCGTTCCGAGGACCGGTGTGCGATGAATCACGATATCAGATTCTTAGCAACCAGATTGATTTTAATCCCTTGCGTTGCTCCCAATAATTTTGACTGATCAAATAAGATGGGTGTTAAATAAAGATAAATAAGTTCATGGATATGTTGAAGTGTCATAGAAACAATTGGTTATAAATAAATAGTTACATAATTATTGGATCAACATTGTGGAAGATTTTAGCAAAGACAACATTGGTGATAGAGTTGGGAGTACGGGCAAACCGACTCTTATAAGCTCGGATCTTAAGAGCCTGAGTCTAAAATTCAATTCTCTATTTTAAACCCTATTTTTTAAACCCGGCTCTTATGTGAAGGGCTTATGGTTGGGCTCGCAAGCCTTTTTTCAAAAAAAAAAATAATATAAATAAAATTAAACATTATAAATTAATTAAAATATTCTGAAATTAAAAAATAAAATTCTCATAATTTTTTAAAAATTAAACAACACACATTTAGAAGTCTAGTAATAAAATTTAAATCTTGGTTAAAAATAATTTTTTTTATAAATACACAAACATAATAATTATAAAAAAATAAAAAATATCAGGAATTTTATATTATACACTGGTATTTATTAAATTATATTAAATTAATTTTAAAATAAATTAAAATTAATAATAATATAATGTGTGTAGGATTAAGTGAGCAGGTCATTGGTTTCAAATATATGTTCCACCAAAGAAAATAATAATAATAATATAACAGGGTTTAAAGGGTTACCCGAGCTCGAGCCCGAGCCTTTTTTTACAGGGCTTATCAGGGCCAAACCCTCAAGCCCAATTACTTTAAAAAAAATTATTTTCAAAACCTGAACCCCTATTTAAAAAGGGCTTTCAAGCTCAGCCTTCCAAATCTGGCCCTTATTCCCAACTTTAATTGGTGGTAATAGACTTTGTATTATTAGTAGTCATGGATGAGAATTTTTAATTCTTGAAAACTTTTAACTTTGGACATAGTAACATATAACTCTCCATATTAACTTTTAATTAACAAAAAAAATGATAAATAATAGAGTTAAATAGCAATGTGAACCCTGAACGATAATTTTAGGTGAGATTTGAATCATGAACTTGTATTTGATATATTTTAAGTTTTGAACAATTAAATTTGGAATAATATTGCCCTCATTATTAATTTTAATTTGAACTAAATATCGTTACTTTAAGCATGGGTCCCACTCTCTTACTATAATGTGTTATATTTTAAATCCTTGATTTAGTAAAATAAAGAAAGGTAAATTAGTGATTTGATGAATTAATTAAATTAATTACATTATTGGATAACAAATAGGCCAATTGGATTTTTTTTTTGAATATAAGGCCACAGCAAAGCCGTGCAAAAAGACTATGATCTAGTTATATCTAAAACCATGAGGTTATTACATTCTATCGGAGGAAAATCTAAAATCATAATGTTAAAAGTATCATGCATCGATCTATAAGCTAATAGGTCAGCACATCTATTCGCTTCTATATAAATGTAGTCAAAGGTAACAATTCAGTCTCTCATTATGAGATCTTTGATCTTCTTGATGATGCCTGATAATGGATGACTTCCGTGGTATCCTTTGTTGATAAGCGACAGTGCTTCCATATAATCAATGTGAACATTGATTTTAGTTAAATTCATATTTCGACAGAGATTGAGACCTTCTAGGATTCCTATAAGTTCGGCAGAAGTGCTTGGTTGATAACCGAGATGCTTGGAAAATCCTTTAACCCAATTCCCTTTGTCATCTCTGATAATGCCTTTGCAAGCTACAATTCCATTCTTGTTGATTGAGCCGTCAATGTCGAACCTCACCCATCCGTGTTCTGGAGGGTTCCATTTAACCTTACTAGTATCTCTTCAGTTCAAGCAGAGGGCTTTAGAAAGGAGCTTCATGTCATTATTTATTTGTTGGGTACTGAAGAAGACAATGTCATTATTCGATGTATCTTCTTCTAAATATAACTTTTTGCATCTATTCTTCCAAATATTCCAACAAGCTTGTGCAAAGAGTCTCTACCATGGGGTTCTTCTAGTCTTGAGGCCTCTTGCTTCAACCCTTGCATTCCAAATAATCCAAACCTGTATATTAAGAGAAAAGAAGGTATTAAGCTTAGTATGATTAACAAGTTTTTTTCAAACCTCTTTAGCTTCTTCACAGTCACAAAGAATATGAATTGATGAGTCAAAAGAGTTACAACCAAAAAGACATCCACGTTGCTATGTAGAATTCCCAGTTGTATGGATGAGATTGAGTTAGAGACAATTTAAGGCGGCCTTCCATAGAAAGTATTTTATTTTTTCATACATAGGCCATTTCCAAATCTTACTCCATAAATCAAAGTGATGCCGATCTTTATGGGACTCCATAACCATATAAGCAGATTTAATTGAGAAATTGCCGTCTGAAGAAGGTCACCAAAAAAGGACATCTGCCTCACCCTGCTGATTAGGAGGTTGAACAATAGAGATACATTTGATCACATCAGAATTAAGATAATGGCTTAAAAGATCGAAATTCCATCCTCCTGTACTATTGCAAAAATCAGAGACCCTTGCATGAAGAATAGAGTCAGCATTAGGAAAAGCATGCTTAACAAGAGGTTCAGGGAGCGGAGACCATTTATCATACCAAAAGGATATTTGATTTTTTTTTACCAATTTTCCAGCCTACATGGAGTATGAATTTATCCTAAACTTTACAGATATTACTCCAAGTATACGAGCAATTATTTGGTTTGACAACCATCAAAATCTTGGGCTTATCACATTTATATTTGTCATGAAGAGTACAAACCCAGAGACAATTAGGCTTGTTGATGAGGCCTTAACAAAGTTTTATGATGAAGGCAACATTCTAGTTCTTTAGTTTCTTAATGCTAAGTCTTCCTTCTTTCTTATCCATAGTAATTCTATCCCAAGACAAGAGATGAGATTTTTATTTCCATCAGATGAATCCCAAAGAAAATTTCTAGGGATTTTATCTAATTCAAACAAAACATTATCAAGTAAGAGCATGGTCTGTATAATATAGCTGAGAAGAGCTGAGAGAATAGATTTGATAAGAACAGATTTCCCTACCATGTTTAAATATCTACTCCTCCAATTCGCTAGGCGAGAGTTTGTCTTATCAAGAAGAGGTGTAAAAGTGATCTTGGACACCTTTTCATGTATAATAGGGATGCCTAGGTATTTTCCAAGATTGCCAGTAAGGGGAATCCCTAGTTCGCCACTAATCTGAGTAACTCTGAATATGGACATTTCTCAAGCAAAAGAGTTTAGATTTTTCAGTGTTTATCTTCTGTCCTGAGGCATTCTAGAATTCAAAAAGACATTATTGGATGATGACAGCTTGCATAAGGGAACATTATGCAAAAAGCAAAAGATCATCAGTAAAGAAAAGATGAGAAATAGGTGGACCATTGATTGTTAATTTAATTGGTCTCCATTCATTTTTTTCAATGCTACTGTTAATATAGTGACTTAGATGTTCAATACAAAGGACAAAGAGATAAGGAGAAAGAGGATCTGTAACACTTGCCCCGAGTGTTATCCAAAAATCACACAATTCAAATAAACTAAGTGTGGTTAAGGAGTTAATCCTAAAACCAACTTAGAAAACAAACCATTTAAATCACTAAGCAAATATACGATTGCAAAGTAAACATTTAAAACCTTAAAAAAAATTATAGGTTCTAACTATAGCGCACGGAAGCAAGTTAGACGAAAGAGAAATAAAAAGATACTGTCATGACAGCATTTAAATTGCTGTCATGACAACCCTCCCGAGTCAACTTCTGGGAGGCGTCGTTCCGCCATCCGACCTCCAATCAAAGTGATTTTAAAGCTCACACGTCACATTCAAAGGGTACTATAAGTATACCAAATTTCAAAAAGATCCAACGGTCGGATTTAAAATTAGACATGTTAAAAATTTGATTATTTTTGCTGTCATGACAGCTAAAAAGCTGTCATGACAGCACTTCCGGACCAACTTCCGGAGTGCACCATTTCATCATCTGACCTCCGATCGGAGTGATTCCAAAGCCCACATGTCACTTTTAAAGAATACTATTAGCATACTAAATTTTGAAAAGATCCAATGGACGGATTGAATTTTGTGCAGGTTATAAAATCAATACTGTAGCTGTCATGACAGCAATTTAATGCTGTCATGACAGCACCTCCAGACCAAATTCTGGAGTGTGTCGTTTCTCCGTCTGATATCCGATCGATGTGATTCCAAAGCCCACATGAAGCTTATAAAAGGTTTTACTTGTGACCCAAATTTTAGAGAAATCCAACGGTCGGATTAAGATTTGGACACCCGGATGTAAAAGTGCAGCTTTTTGGTAAAAACCATTTTCAAAATTGTCCAAATCCCATCCTAATGGTCACAAACCTGTGGAAACACTTTGGACACGCCAAATAAGATTAAAAACACCTGATAGAATATTCAAATGATGGAAAACCCCCATACATCAAAATTTGACCACCCGGGTGCCATTTCCCAAAATGGACCCTAAACCCCCAAAATGCACAAATCATACAAGAGTGGTCGCAAATCAATCCAAATACCATGTATTTATATAAATACATATGCTAAACATCTTCACTTGGCTCAGAGCTCCTTGTGGGGCCCACGCACCCACTCTCTCTATCCAAGCTGTATGTTTTCCCACAGCACACCATTTGCAATGCAACCACTTTGCATTTGCTTATAAAATCACATATATATCAAAATAAAGATCTGCTTGTAATAAACTTGGTCTACTAAGTAAATCCATCAAAACCACACACCATAACCAAGTTTCCTAGCCATAAGTCTGCAAACAGACAAAAATTCATACACAAGCACACAATCCACACATATTCACACACACACACATGATCATATCCTACTGGCACCCTAATCTTAAATACATTACAATATATTTGCTCAAAAGAAAGGGGTTGCAGTTCTTTACAAATCACAAGCAAACCCCTAGCTTTGCTCCTTTCCCCGTCCACCACTGGATCCTTCGCCTGGACCTAGAATATTGAAAAGA